TTGTGTATCAAGATTTATTAGATTCGGATCAAAACGGTAGGAAGAGTAGTATTTTGAAAAATTACTTACAAACAGACCTGCGGACGATAGACATCTGACTATAGCATAAGCTAGCTATTCTAGTCTTTTACCCCTAGATCTTAAAGTCAACAAAATTATATAAATTTGTGACTCAAGTTTTATAATGTACCATTCAGTTATGAAGATATAATAGCTTCCTATAACAAAACTTCTTGTTCTGTTGCTTATTTCTCTCTCTCTCTCTCTCTCTCTTTTGAAATTCTGTAGCTATTTTAGCCTATTTACTCACAACTGATTTTTTTTGGGGGGGGGGGGCTGGATAGGATATTCATAGGCGTTGCCTTTAGCTTAAATCTATATATTAGTTTCTGTAAGATATTGTTTAGTACCAATCTTCTCTTCATAAATTTCCAAGATTCGGGGCGTTAAGATGAAACACGTTAATTATTGTGACGGATTTGCAAAAGAAGCTTACACCCAAAGAAAGAAGTAAGCTGGTTTTAATTAATGAACCTTGCAAGTATTAAAGGACGACGTAGAATTTGTATGTATCCCACAATTCACGGTGAGCAGTTTCAGCAAAACATTGTACTGCTTGACAGATTATGAAGTGCAATATGTCAACTTTCAAGATATCACGTGAAGACTTTTATTGGATAAATAAACTCTGCCACAAAATGACAAAATACCAAGTGACAGTAACTTCTGTTATGGACCTCCAACCTCCCCACTGCAAAAACCGCAGTCCCCTTATCCCCTCTGAATCTGCGTTTGAATCTTTTCATGTAAATCACCGTTACCCTCTGAATGATGAAACCATGCCCTGTAGCGCGATCTAGAACTTATCAACAGTCAACATTATTGCTTCCAAAAACTTTATTTGTATTTGTATAAAACATTCAGCATAATATAATAAATACTGCATGAAGTTGAGGGGTAACATTGCACATTTTCACCGATGTAAGTTGACAATGGTTTTCTTGGGGTGAAAATTTTCAATAATCCAAATATACTGAAATTCATATACTTAGAAATGAAACGAATATCAAATTGATTGCGGGAACGTCAGGTAATTTTTAAAAGTTCATAAGAGAAAGATGTTAATTCGAAATAATGAAATATCCTAGCTAGTCGTACGGTACGGTAGATAGATATCTCATTTTCTCTCTCAATAGATGTTTGATAAAATAGAGATATTTAAGTGCAGATTTATTGTAACTAAAACATGCTTGTACATAAAAGGATGACTGGTGAAAGTAGGGTCAGGATTGGGGAGAAATGTGTCCTCCAGAAATAGCACAAAACATGCACATAATTATGTAGTTTTTAGTCAGTAATATTTGGTAGACTGGTAATTTTAATTAATATATATGTATAACAAATCATCTTTTTAAGTGTTTTGGCATCGCTCTTTTCCTGTATCCATCGTTCTGCATTTGTTGAACATTTATAACGTTAAAGCAATATGAGCTGCATTGTTGAGAGTTTTATTTTGCTGTTAAAATGTGCTGTCATGATAAATCTGATGTAATTTAAACCTTTATGATCAATTAGACTTAAATAAAATATTACATTTTTTCAGGAGAAAGGTTTCTGTACAATGGAATGTATAGTATTATATAAGAAATCAATATTCTAGAGGACGACAATAATGTAATTTTGCTTAAATCAAAGCTTCGAGAAATAGTTCTTTCATCGCAAATACAAACAATAGAAGTTTATAAATGTTCTTTTTTCTGTCATTGATATTGTTAATTACAATTTTGCAACAGAAATTTCCGACATCAAAGTTGCAGCTCATATTGCTTTAATTTTAGAGGGAGTAAATTTGCTTTGTGCAAGATACATTGTAATCAAACATGTGTTATATTTCCCATCGAACAGCCTGGGAATGCACCCTGTGTAAAAACTAGTGTCAATACTATGAAATAAATTTATAAGATGTTTATGTATGTATGTATGACTTCAGTATTGTTATTTGTCACGTATCTTATAGCCAATTTATAGTATATAGGTGTACCATCTCTTATTAAAAAAAAAAACAAATCCTGATCTATGGTGATATATACAGTAATCTTTTAATTTAAATAAAATGTCTAAATGAGAGAGAGAGAGAGCCATATATATATATATATATATATATATATATATATATATATATATATATATATATATATATATATATATATATATATATATATATATATATATACCGGTATATATATAAAATCCAATAAAATGTCTCAACGATCGCAATAAAATACTTAAAATAAAGAAGAAAAACCTCAGTAAAGCTTTATGTATATATTAGATCTAAATGTAAAACTAAACCTTTTAAATGACAATTGTCCTTTTAAGGCATTGGTATATGTCTGAAATATTTTTGATATTTATTTCCTCCTATTCCTATCCAATTTGAAATTCCATTGACATTATTGGCCATAAACAACAAAGAGAGGAAAACTTTTACAACTAACTGCTCATTACACAATCAATTGCAACAAGTGCTTGACATGAACATATTACCGTTTTGCAGCTATATGTAATCAATATTGATCATCATGCTGTATAAAACAGCTGTGTGAGTAAATGTTGTGATAATTGTTACGTAATCTGTTGTAACCTTTCATTTTCATCGATTCTTTTACATTTTTTCAATGAAAAAACACATGTCGGACTATCATATAATATCAGGCTCCGAGTATCACGTCCAAAATACAATAAAACATTGAGTTGACTTTTAATCCGATATGCAGTTCACATCTCACATACTACTAACAAGAATTTGTTTGAATAATTTGATTTGCTAAATTAATAAAATCACACACACATAGATTTAACATTGACATAAAATGCTATTCCTCATTTAGCTCATCATAATATGAAGGTGATTTCTTTGTCAACCCTTTATCCAAATGATTAAGCATCGTCGGAAATCCACGGTCGGTCTTGCTTCTCTTACCTCCCGTGGGACACAAGGCCGAAAATTTCAGGAGGTAATAGAAGCGAGACCGACCGTGGGTTTCCGACGACGATGATTAAGGTCAATGGACATACATTCTGTATAGTAATCCCTGCATTGGCTTTAAGTTATCCAAAAAGTAATAGAACTGTCTGCAATAGTTTTATTTTTAATCTTTTTAGGAGATATTTGGCACTCGTCATATAGTCAAGTATATAAGTATATTTTGTTCTTAGCGCTCTTTTTTTTTTTTACTTATATATTAATTATGTTTAATGATCAGGGTAAGATACGGAATTGATTTTTTAAGGACTGTCATGTCCTGTTTATAATCATTGTAAAATATGAAATAGATCAGTTGAGAGAGGGGGGGGGGCAATTAACTTAACAGAAATTCTTGACAAGCAATAATAAATAAATGAATAAATAAATAAAAAAATTGCTTTCTAAAATTGAATATATACTGGCAAAATTACACCCCCCGGTTCCTACGGGCCTGCATAAGTATCTATTTTTGGTGTGTATAATACCAGAAGATTTCGTGATTTTTAATGTAATACAGAGAGAGAGAGATCTATTTCTAGACTAAATAGTTTCATGTATTTACATGTATCAGAGTGAGTGTAAAATATACAGATAAAAAGCGAATTAATTTATATTCACAAGAAGACGGTTCTTGACGTCAAATATTGCATCAATTTCACAATTACGCAAGTTGTGTGCAATTTGATAGCATTGCTCCTTGAATCGTTCATTCACTAACAGGAAATTACAGGCTTTTTACTCTCCAAAAATACCGATACGAAACCTTTTTTCATGATTTGTGTGCACTATTTTTCATCGAAAAAATATTGAAATTTAAAATCATTTTTAGGGCTTTCAGGATGGGGATTTTGACCCTCCACGTAATGGATTATTACATTTTGCAAAATAATTATATTCTGCTGTTCTTAATGCAAAAGAAATTGTTTTTTTTAAGTGTTGTTTATTTTAAACACGTTATAAGGACTATGATTTATTTAGATGTTGCCGTGGGGAAATACACATGTATAGCTTTACTCAATTAACAATTGTCTTAGTATTGGATCCAAAATCTGTTTATTACATTTTATATTGTTTATCATTCCGCGTTCATTTCGATGCAATATGTGATAAATCGCAGTTTATTATATTTTGTGTCTTAATTAGAGATTTCACGGTTGTTGTTTTTTTTTGTATTGAAAATTAATTTAATTTTACAACGTTCATTCAGTGGACAAGTGATCAGTGAAGCTCAAGAAGTCCTAAGAGAGAGAAAATCAACTAAGAAGCAATTTTGGAAATTATGTGTGTTGAAGTTTTGGGTTTTCTTAATCCCACTCTACCAAAGTTGGTGAAATGTTCCATATGTTTTATACATTCAAATGATTTATGTAGAGCTTATATAACAGCATCATACAACACAAATTTTCGTTGGTTTCATCAATTCAAGTATTTCAATTTAGGAATGTAAATGATTTGGTATTGTCCTGCTCTGAAAAGTTAAACTCAATTATTTATAGTTATTTGTAGAACCCATTGCTTGATTAACAAATTAATACAGTGAAGCATCTATAAATTTATATCATTATTTGTAGGGAAAGTAGTTCCCAAGAATTGACACTGTATGGAGCCAGTATCATATAAACTATAAAGAGGTTGGGGGAAACGTACACACCATGACTTGTGCCATGAAAGTAAACATATTATTTGATGAAATTGGGGATAACTACGGCTGAAAATATAATGGAATCTCACTATAATAGTGATATACCGCTATTGTAGCGGAATTTACCCCCCCCCCCCCCCCACCTGATAAATACCCTATGACACTGAATATCAAAATTTGTCCATTTCATGCAATGTATTACAAAGTTTTTTTTATTCAAATACATCAGGTAAAGGTACATAACAAACCAGAGCACTTGGAATTAAAACACAAATAAGTCCAACCATAATTCACTCACTTCCTTTATAAAGAAAAAAAAAAGTTCATCACTTCATATATACAATTTAATGTTTTTGCACCACAATCAAATCACAATCAAAATAAATCTGTATAAAAACATGAATTTTGAATTATACCCAAACATCATATAGCTTTGGACATGAAATGCATATGAGTCTACATTATTCCTAAGAACTATGAAAGGTATATGAGTCTACATTATCCTTAAGAACTAACAGTATGATGCGATGCAGAAGTCAATGTCAAGCCTTTGTAAGCCTAAAAAAGCCCATGTAATTCCTGCACTGGCTATACATATACTCAGAATTTATCATATGACACAATTTGTAGTACAGTACACGTACTTCATTTTTAGACTTCATTCGATTTTATAAAATGCTTATGTACATACTATGTCCCGCATTTTCACAGTACAGACTTGTTCTAATTAAGATAATTGGCACTCATCAAGTTTTTAAAAAAAATTCTTCATCCTGTATTTAAAAATCTGTTTAACTATCAGTGAATTTGGGTGGTCTTTTCTCTGAAAATGCTGTCATGCCCTCCCTACGATCATTCTGAAATGAAAAATAAATATTCAACTATGAAAATGTAAACAAAATTTCACTAAAAAAGATATCAACAGACAGTAAAAGTGAAAAATATACAGTGTAGGATTAAGGCTGTGATAAAACTGTTTTAAACAAAAACATGTACTGTAGATCACCAAATTTTCCTGACAACTTACTGTATGTGTACTTAAAAAAGCAGGCTTCATATTTTAGCGGCTTTGGCATGCATGGACACAGATGTTCTAATTCATGAATACCGCTAAGAAATCATTTATAAATACAATACACAGCACATATATGTGTAGTGCCAATTCATGATTATGCCAACAACTCCATACTCAGTGATTGGGCTCAATTTCCAATATGCCAATTTATGTACATGTAGAGTATTTCTGCGAGAAAGTTATAAGAATTATAAGTGAGACAAAATTTTCACAAATGTTTGTTATTTTTGTAAATATTCTTTAATAATAAAAATACACACAAGAATGAAATTTTCAAGCAGTTGATCTTGTGAATTACCAAAAAAAATAAAGTTTTCATGAAAAAAAAAGTGATTTACAGTAAATGAAGCTTAGCCACATATGCAAGTATATACACAACATGCATAAGGAAAACTGTATGAATGGACTGGGATTGAAGTCAGAGAATGAATATCTTGAAGATAAAGTCAGAAACCCCGAACCCAGGGTGGTGATCATCATTTATATGGCATAGCCAAATTATTATACATGTAATGTGATTGAAAGGGCAAAGCTTCATATTTAAAGGTAGTTGTTTCTTATGATATCTAGTTTATTACAATCTATAGATTTTGTCTAGAAAATCACTTCCTAGATAACCATTTTGATATTGTATAAAGTAGACCATTATGTATTGTTTTAATAAAAGAAAGCACTAAAAATAAAATTTGACATCATTGTTTTACTCAAATAATGTAAAGTATACAATTCCTGGTTTTCCTTCATTGTGACACAACAAACAGGTTTTTTTTTCTCTTTCCTGTTACCATTGTGTAATTGACCTGATTAGGCAAAATGCAAGTTAAGGGCAGCTAACTCTATTTGGCATTATTTTTCAATACTGTATTCATTTTCTGATTCCTTCAGGTAAAAATGTGGGTACATTTAACTATGCTGATTGAAGTTACTTTGTTTGGACTATTAATGTACAGGAAAAGTATCATAAACACCAAACTGTCATTTAGTAAAGTACAAATACTCACTGAAGCAAACGAAGCATGGAAAAGTCTCTTTTCAAAATGAAGTCCCTCTTTCAAAGACATTTCATATGCTGTCAAAGGAAAAAAAAAATTTTTTTTTTATTAAACTTAACACAAAATACATATCATTATAAAACTGTAGTAAGGATCATACTGTAGCTGTTGAACCAATGAAATGTAAAGATTATGTACAGTAATTCCAAAATTGCAATAAAAGAACAAGTGCATTGGAAAGCAGAGCATCCTCTTGCAAGAGAGAACATTCCTATTATGAACAAGCTAGCAAATGACATAAATGTACACGTAAACTGTAACTTCTGTCTCACACCAAACTCACTCACACACACACTTGCAAGGGTGCTCTATATTCCTTCCAACTTTGCTGGAAAGGGATAATGAGAACACAGTAATCACGGACCTCTGAAAAACATTGTAGTACATTTAATAACATCAGAAGTGGGAGCAGGTGCCATGGACGAACAAGCAACTCTAATTATACCCATTGTGAGTCCTTTTTCATGATCGAATAAACATCTAGACTAATGATATGAAAATAGTGGCCTAACAGTTTTCATTAAATAAGCCAGTCAACGATCGACCCAACTACAGGTTGTATTTGCAAACAATATCATTGTATTGACCATAGAATTTGTAGTTTGAAAACTGTCATACAAAATATTAACTAGAGGTACTATGAGCACTGAGCTCACAAAACGATATCCCCGCTCCCAGTATAATATGGCAAAGTCCATGTTATGCTATGGGAAACCCCAAATATTTGTTGATCAAAATAAAATATAGTACACAATCAATACCACTGTGTAATGAAGTTTTTGTGAAGATCTCATTAAATTCTATTCAGTGGTATGGGAGGAATGGTGGATAAAAGATGGGTACCCCTAATATAATAGAAAGAATTGCACTGTCTTGTTTTGCTATGGGAAATACCAAATATAACTGTCCATTGTAAAATATAAGGTATACAATGGCACTGTGTAATAAAGATTTTGTGAAAGTCTCATTAAATTTTATTCAGTGGTATTGGAAGAGTTGGGATAAGAGATGGGTACCCCCATGTGTAACACTAACAGACATACAGACAGACACTCCCATTACTACCGTATAACGGGTATTTTCTGCGGTTGTCCAATTTTTGCGGAATTTTGCGGATAGGACAAATCCGCAAAAATTACAATCGCAAAATATTTTTCAGTATTTCTTCAGATATATATTTTATACATGCAAGTATGATAAGTTGTGCGTATGTCACAGGATTCTCATTAACGCAAGAATCTGCGTACTGGACGCCGCAAAATTATTTGGGACGCAATGTTCTTAAAAACGATGCGTCCGCAGACTCATGATCGAGTGGACACGTTCTCGTTAGCGAGAATATTCGGGTGTCATCGAAATTCAAAGATTTTAGATGGAAGAATTTGTCCAAAACATATTGAATCAAAACGTTCCTGTAAATAATATCAATTTAATAATTTTATACAAAAACATCTTTTCTTGTACCTATTTCTTTATTTTATATGGATAAGCATGTAGGCCTACATGTAAATGACTAAAAGAGATTTCACAATTATTCATCCAAACTCCGATAGCTGCAAACAACACATATTAGCTTTTCTTTCTTTCTTTAACACTTTTTTTCAATCTTGTGTTTTATCTTGAAACCATAATTACTCCTTGTATACACAATGTACCTTGATTGTCTCGTGAATTTCACTCAATGCAGACGACTGACAGGATTAGTTACGCCTCATTACACATGGCACCTGTGATTGTATACGGTCAACTTTCGATTACTTGATTATGCAACTGTTTGTTTGAGCTTAAAATATAAACACCAGGTTAATTTTGATGGCAATTACCTGTAAGTGTATTTTTAGAATATGGCTTGGATGCATTAATTATTTATATATTTAAATATTTTAATAGATCGCATAAAACGTTTGTTACAATGTAGAATAAAGATTTTCGTTGTTGCTTGGGTGGACTGATACTGTAATAATTCATTTCAATTGGGACTCGACATAATTTTACAAAGACTAACTAAAAGATAGTAGTTTAATTAAGCTTAATAGCTTAATACAAGTTCTCATGCACCTTTGATCAATATGTCTCAATGAATTTATAAAACGTAAACATGGCAGCTATCTGATAATTCTTAGAGTTTGGTGATTATACCCAGTATATATTTTTTTGCGGTATAATGCAACCGCAGAAATTGAAAACGCAGAAATTAATTTACTATCTTTTAGGGGTTAAATCGCAAAAATTTCCAACCGCAGAAAATACCCGTTATACGGTATATACCTCCCACTTTTCAAGTGAGGGTATAATAACTATGGCCATCAACCAAAGACAATGGCAATTTTGTAGTAATGGACGTCTTCTCTAAAAATAATGTCATGAAGCGAACCAACTCATGTTACACACTAAATGGACTTTAATTTTTTCTCTAAATGAAGATATACCTGCATTGACTGCCTCCTTGCACATTCCTGAGGCTATTTTAGAGAAACTGCTGATTTTCTCAGCTGTTTTAACGGCCTCACTGACCAGATCTGCTGCAGGGACAACTTTACTAACCAGTCCTGTGTAAGAATTAACACTAATCATACATGTAACAAGAATTAACATCCATTTTTGATTTACATGTACTCATTAAAATTTGGTATTTCACACTTTGTTCATTTTTTTTTTTTTGGCTCGCTTTTCTTTTTAATTTTACCATGTGTACAACTGATTAAATATGAAATTCACAATACATCAACAATTGCTTTATTCCAAAATTAGGTGAAATTGGTAGGGCCACTTGAAAGGGGAAGCTGAAAATGTTGCATAAAAAGCCAATAAATTTTATTCTCACACTAAAACGTATGTATTTACCTGCTTTCTCAGCCTCTTCTGCCGACATTCTATTGGCTGTTAACACCATCTCCATGGCCTTGGATTTCCCGATAGCTTTACACAATCTTTGGGTCCCTCCAGCTCCTATTTCACAAATCAAACTATAATCAATCTCATGCATGCAAGTCTTTTTTGATAAACTGAACCACTTAAATGATCCTAAGCATCATTATGTAAATTACTGTATGTGTACATAAATTGACATATTCAAAATTTAGCGAAATCACTGGGTATTGAGTGGTTGGCTTAATCATGAATTAGCGTTACACACGTCCACACAGTGTATTGTATTTATTAACTAGAAATATGTCCATAGGACATGAATGACCCGCCGAGGGTATATTAGAAATGCAAAATGAAAATCTGTATTAGTGTATGAAATTTGATGAGAATATCTTGAATAGTTTCTTTAAAATTGAAATTGAAATCTAAAAAGTTGCATATACCGGTAGATGCTAAATTTTTACCAAATTATGTATTAGTGCATAAGCTTACATGAATATATCTTAAATGGTTTCTTTAAAATTAAGCAAAATGCAAATTTAAGAAAAGTGAGGTCAAGGTCACAGGAAAGTTCAAGGTCAACCGTTTTTGATGCAGTTGAATAGTTCTCACAAATACGCAAATCAGCATATTAAGTTTGATAAAAAAATTTTGAATGGTTTATTAACAAGAGGCCCAAGGGCCTTAACAGTCACCTGAGTATAATACAACAACTTAGAGGATCCATAGAATATAAAATAAACTGGTACATGTAGATGAAGATTTGTTGCCCAAAAGCAAGGGAAATAGGAATGATCAGGATCAATGAAATAATTAGTTTAATATCTAGTAACAACTCATAAATTAAGTTCTAATCTGTCCCCAATTTATCACTGTCACCATGCAGACTATTAACAAACTATTAGTGCTTCTGTATTACTTTTAACCCCAAATTGTAATCTCTCACATTGGCCTCTTTTGGTCTTTGAAGAACATTTTAAAAAGTTTTTTTTTGTCTCATTTTTTATTATTCCATTATTTACAAGTCTATCTGATCATTAAAACTATGAAAGTAGTTTTTGTATTATACAATAAAATACCGTATTAAAACTTTTACTTTGTTTGCCTTCAATATGCTAAGGAACAGAGAAGATTTTCAAAGAAAAAATGCATTTTCATACTACATGTACCATGACTACAGATTCAACACAGCCCTACCCCAACACCAAAACCCATGACCCAGGGTCATGAATTTCACGAATTTGGAAGAGGTATCCTCATCACAAATTTGGAAGAGGGACCCTCATCATCATAACTCTGCACTTATTTGAATATTTTCAAAAACACATTTTCACTTATGTTATCAATAGACCCCCCCCCCCCATGAGAAACACAAAAGCCCCTCAACCTGGGACCACAAAAATTTTAAAATTTTGTAAGAAGCACCCTTATTCATCATAAATATGCACTTTGTTTATCTGCTCAACACTAAGGATCAGACAGGGTTATTTAACTGAATAAATGCATTTTCACTACATGATTAATAGAGACCCACCCTAACACCAAAACCCCTGACTCAGGGGCCATGAAATTCAAAATTTTGGAAGAGGCACTCTTGCTCATCATAACTATAAACTTAGTTAGTTTATTTAATACCCAGGAGCAGAGGAGAAGATTTTCAAAGAATTAATGCATTTTCACCATATAATCATAAGAGCCCCATCCTAACACCAGAACCCCTGACCCTGGGGCCATAAATTTCACAATTTTGGAAGAGGCACTCTTGCTCATCATAACTATGTACTTAGTTCATCAGCTTAATACCCAGGGCCAGAGGAAAAAATTTTCAAAGAATTAATGCATTTTCACTATATGATCATAAGAGTCCTGCCCTAACACCAGAACCTCTGACTCAGGGGCCATGAAATTCACAATTTTGGAAGAGGTACTCTTCCTCATCATAACTATATACTTAGTTCATCGGCTTAAAACCCAGGAGCACAGGAGAAGATTTTCAAAGAATTAATGCATTTTCACTATATACCGGTAATCAATAGAGCCCCACCCTAACACCAGAACCCCTGACCCTGGGGCCATGAATTTCACAGTTTTGGAAGAGGCATTCTTGCTCATCATAACTATGTACTTAGTTAGTTTGTTTAATATCCAGGAGCATAGAAGAAGATTTTCAAAGAAATAATGCACTTTTACTACTGTAGATTCCTAAATATAAGCGAAGAATTAATTAACGCATAATTACGTGAGGAGCACTACTCACGAAATAAAATTACTCACTTTTATTTTTATGGTGTTGAAATTAATGTTAAATCTCATTGTAAACTGTCCTTTCGTGAATTATTGTTCTCGCGATTTGGCGTCTAAGAGCCCTTTCGCGATATTAAGTACTCGCGTAAAATAAGGAATTTACAGTATATCATCTACATAGCCCCGCCCTAACACCAGAACCCCTGACCTTGGGGCCATGAATTTCACAATTTTGGTAGAAGGCTCACTGCTTATTACAATCATGCCAACAGTTTGACTGCTTGATGTCCAGGAGTAAAGAAGAAGATTTTTAAAGACTGCATTAATTTTGGTGGTTTTAGCCCCACCTCTCAGGCCCCAAGGGGGCAGGGACCCTGAAATTCACAATTTTTGTTCCCCTTCACCCATAGATGCTATATGCCAAAATTGGTTGAAATTGGTTATGTGATTTAAGAGAAGAAGCTGAAAATGGTCAAATATTAACGTATGTCGCACGACGAACGCCGATGGACAAAAACGGATAGCAATAGGTCACCTGAGTCACTTAGGTGACCTAAAAACTGAGCTAAACACTAATTCAAAATAAATGAAGTTAAGGTCAAAGGAAAGGTCAAGGTAAAAAATGTTGATGCAGTTGAAAAGGTTACATCAGTATGTATTAGTATATTAAGTTTGATAAAAAATATTATGAATGGTTTCTTTAAAACTGAGTTAAACACAAATTGAGAAAACTGAAGTCAAGGTCAAAGAAAAGGTCAAGGTCCGAAAATATTGATGCAGTTGAATAGCTTACACCAGTATGTATCAGCATATGAAGTTTGACACTAATTTAAGACAAGAGGCCCAAGGGCCTTAACGGTCACCTGAGTATAATACAACAATTTAGAAGTTAAATACACTGATAGATGAAGCATTGTTGCCCTAGCCCCTCCCCCCCCCTCCCCTCCTCAAGAACCCCCAAAACTGAGGCCATATATTTAAAAATTTTGGAAGAGGCATCCTTGTCTATCATAATCATGCACTTAGTTTGTTTAAATAATCTCCAGTAGCAGAGAAGAAGATTTTCAAAGAATTAATGCATTTTCACTATATAATCAATACAGCCCCGCCCTAACACCAGAACCCCTGACCCTGGGGCCATGAATTTCACAATTTTGGAAGAGGCACTCTTGCTCATCATAACTATGTACTTAGTTCCTTTATTTAATACCCAGGAGCAGAGAAGAAGATTTTCAAAGAATTAATGCATTTTCACTATATAATCAATACAGCCCCGCCCTAACACCAGAACCCCTGACCCTGGGGCCATGAATTTCACAATTTTGGAAGAGGCACTCTTGCTCATCATAACTATGTACTTAGTTCCTTTATTTAATACCCAGGAGCAGAGAAGAAGATTTTCAAAGAATTAATGCATTTTCACTATATAATCAATACAGCCCCGCCCTAACACCAGAACCCCTGACCCTGGGACCATGAATTTCACAATTTTGGAAGAGGCACTCTTGCTTATCATAACTATGTACTTAGTAACTTTATTTAATACCCAGGAGCAGAGAAGAAGATTTTCAAAGAATTTATGCACTTTCACTATATGATCTATATAGCCCCACCCTGGGGCCAGAACCCCTGACCCTGGGGCCATGAATTTCACAATTTTGGAAGAGGCACTCTTGCTCATCATAACTATGTACTTAGTTCCTTTATTTAATACCCAGGAGCAGAGAAGAAGATTTTCAAAGAATTAATGCATTTTCACTATATAATCAATACAGCCCCGCCCTAACACCAGAACCCCTGACCCTGGGACCATGAATTTCACAATTTTGGAAGAGGCACTCTTGCTCATCATAACTATGTACTTAGTAACTTTATTTAATACCCAGGAGCAGAGAAGAAGATTTTCAAAGAATTTATGCACTTTCACTATAT